TGATGCTCGACCCGAGCCGGGACCCAAGGCTCAACGCTACTATGCAGGTGCTTGGCAAGAGCGCGCTCGTGGTGGACGCGAAGGCTCTCTACGACGCTGCCCAGAAGCCCCGCGTGCACAATTTCGGCAAAAAGCGGACGGGCATCGAGGTCCAGGTGCTGAAGGAGCGCATGACGGCGAGTGCGACCGGCTGACCTTGGGTCAGCTCAGAGCGCCAGTTCGCCGATGGTTTTACAAAGCTGGCAGCAGGGCAGCTACTGGCAGACCGACTCAGATCTGGAACGATTAATTTGATGTATGACGACAAGTTTCAGGCCACCAAGAAGAAGACCGCCACGGATAGGCAGCATTCCCCTCATGACCATGCTGAAGTGGATGATGAACATCACTATATACATCATGATGGTGGTTGGAATTGTTTATGAAAAGTTCCGAGACAGGGCACAGACTATGGACACAAGTACACAAAATACGGCGACGATGGAGACTACTACGGAGTGCCGTGACAAGGCACAGACTACGGACAGCACCAGCGAAGGCGAGACCAAGAAGAAGGTCAAGAGGCAAAAGAGGACCTTCTGCAACACCGGGGTGATGAGCCAGGTTACCTACACCAGAGTTGGCGAGGAGAGTGAGGTCGATATGTTCACCAGACCCAGGGATTCAGCAGAGCCTGGGAGGTGACGCAAACCTACGAGCAGGACAGGCCTCACAAAGATTGAATTTGCCCCAGCAGAACCCGTTTAGCATTTCCATCCTTTTCTCGTGTTCCTATATCTTTCTTATCTCTCGCACTGAAGCTAGATTGGACCGACCGACGGTCTGATAGACAGATGTTTCGGCTGCTGACTTCAAGGGCGCAGCCACTCTCGAGCTGATTTAATTCGCTCATGCTGCTGCAACAGCAGGCTCAGATTTGAGGAAGTCTCCTTCTTTGAATTGCTTGTTTATTGTGCCTCTTTCTCACCAGTGTGGAATGCACTCCATGCAATATATGTCGGTAGCGGTTTGGAGGGATGTAGCATTACTTGTGACAATTTTGTTCCCTTTTGCCCTCCCCCCGTTCCCTCTTTCAGGATGCAATGTGCAGAGCAAGTACCATCATGCAGTATGCACAGCAAGCATGTTAGCATGTACCGACGCTGTGTCAGTTCGAGAGGCCTCGCGCACTTGGCGAAAGATACGCTTGCTTCGCCTTGGCACGCAGAGCGATCGCAGAGGATAAGTTCAATATTGATTGGGCAGAGATTCGCAATCATATTCGAGCTGTGACGAAGGCTTCGAGTGCTTCGACCAATTGACACTTTTCGGGCCCTAGAGGCCCCCTTGGGGCCCTAAAAGGATCCCTGCGGGGCCCTCAAGCGCATCTTTTCTACAGACCTCGCTGCCCCCACCCAGTTATCGCCCCCCATTACGCGACGCCCAACGTCCTGAGGACCATCGATGACCAAAGGTGAGGGGGCGATGGATTTTCTTCGAGGGAATCTCAGACCGCATGACAACAAAACACGTGTCCCTTCCCAAAACGTGACCCTTCCCCGACCACGGTTGTCTTCTTTGCCGCTTCCCGAAGCGAACAAAAACTATACCCCAAAAGCCTTTTCGGTAGAGGAGGGTCCCAGGAACGAACAAACGGGAAGGCCGCTTGTGGAACCGTCCCTTGGTAATTCCCTGTCGCGCTATTCGTAACATGATTTTCTGCACTCCTCGACAGAATTTCACACATGTTCTGGTCCGATATTTGAGCCCCTATAACCCCCATCCCGATTTTTGATGCAGGGCTTTCCGAGGACAGCCCCTGACAGAGGAACAAAAACTGGAACACACGATACTTCTTGGAGGTCCGCGAAGATTTCTAGCTGGATCCGCGCTGGGCCCTCTCCCGGCGTGCGGAGCGCGCCAAGGGCGGCGCCAGAGGAGCCGCCAGGGGGGCCCACCGCAGATGCAGGACATCCGCACAGACCTCCGAGAAACCGTGTCCCTCATTTTTGCTGCTCTTCGATTCCTGCCCCTCTGAGCAGAAAATGTTTCCCCCCGCTTTCTATGCTGCGAGAGGAACTGGATCGCCCCTGGGGTGAGTCCACCGCTCGGCGGTCGGGACGTGCTTCGGGCGGACGGAGGCCTGAATCTGAATTTCAGCTCCGTATGGGGGGTCCTGATCTAGACTAAGACGTGGCGCACTTCTGCGGGCCAGATGCAGATCTTGTACGGGACCTCACCTCCACTCGGTGGTTCAAAAAAGAGAGAGAGAGAGAGAGAGAGAGAGCGTGATCACCCGCCCCTTTCCTGTGGAAAATTCCTCCCCCCTCTTCCTCGGAACCCGGGGTCCCCCCGCCCCCTCCGAAGATCCCCCCCCCTGCCCCCCGGCAAACACCCCCCCTCCCCTAACCCCCGCCGCCCCCCCCTCCGGAAAACCGAAGGGGGTCACTACCGGTTCGACCCCCCCCCCTCTCCGGAAAACTGGCGGGGGTCACTACCGGTTCGAACCCCTCCCCCCCCCCAGAAAACCAGAGGGGGGTCACTACCGGTTCGAATCCCTCCCCCCCCTCCAGAAAACCAGGGGGGGTCACTACCGGTTCGGGTACCCCCCCCCTTCCTCCAGAAAACCGAAAGGGGTCACTATCGGTTCGAACCCACCCCCCACGCTCACCGCCAGCAAACGACTCCCGGGTCCCTACCGCCGTCCGCACCACGTCCCCCACTGCTGTCCCCAGCGCAACTGTCCTCAACACCACTGTCCCCACTGTTCCCGCCGCTGTCCCCACTGTCCTCACCAGTGCCCCCACCACTGTCGCAATGTCTCCACTGTCTCCACCACTAGTCCCACCACGGTCCCACTCTCCACACTTTCCCCACGGCCCCAACCACTGCCCCACTGTCCCCACTGTCCCACTGTCCCACTGTCCCCGCCGCTGTCCCACTGGGCTGTCCCACTGCTCCCACCACTGTCCCCACTGTCCCTGTCCCCACCACTGTCCCCACTGTACCTCTGTCCCATTGTCCCACCGCCGTCCTCGCCACCGCTCTCACCACTGTCCCCACCACCACTGTACCCTCCACTGTCCCACTGTTTCCACCACATTCCCACTGTCCCCACACCACTGTCCCCACCACCACCGCTCCCACCACTGTCCCACTGTCCCCACTGTTCCCAACATTGTCCCCGCTGTACCCAACAGTGCCCCCACCAGTGTCTCACTGTCCCTACTCTCCCCACCATTGTCCCACCACGGTCCCACTGTCCCCACTTTCCCCACGGTCCCCACCACTGTCCCAGTGTCCCCACTGTACCCACCAGAGTCCCAATCCCCGCCGCTGCCCCACTGTGCTGACCCACCGTCCCCACTGTCCCCATCACTGGCCCACTGTCCCCACCACTTTCCCAACTGTACTACTGTCCCACCACTGTCCTCACCACCGCCTTCACCACTGTCCCCACCACTACCGTCCCCACCACTGTCCCACTGTCCCCACCGCTGTCCCGCTGTCCCCTCACCACTGTTCCCACCACCACCGCCCCCACCACTGTCCGCACCACTGTCCCATTGTCCCCGCACCACTGTCCCCACCACCACCGTTCCCACCACTGTCCCAGCATCCCCAACATTGTCCAACTGTCCCGATGAGCGGGCATCGTTTGCCGGCGGCGAGGGGGGGGGGTTCGAACCGGTAGTGACCCCCCCCCCGGTTTTCGAGAGGGGGGGGGGTCGAACCGGTAGTGACCACCCCCCTTTTCATGATGGACTGGGGGGGGGGGGAAGGGGTTCGAACCGGTAAATACCCCCCCCTCGGTTTTCGAGGGGGTGGGGGGGGGACGGGTTGGGAACCCCCAATGACCCCCCCCCGGTTTTCCGCCAGCAGCGGTAGAACACGCTCTTTCCAAAGATGGGGACCTAAGGATAGGAAGGGATCCAAGGGTGGATTTACATTGTTTGAGACACCTCGTCCTCAGGACCCCATCCCTCATGACCCCATCTTTCAACCACCGATCCACGTGCCGGACGCAGTCCAACACCCGCGGGGATGTCCAAGACCCCATCCGGAAAAACCTTGAAGAGGGGGGGGGCCACCCGGCGGGGTCCAGATCTGCCGCTCCCTGTTGTGGAGAGCGGCCCTGCGCGGCCGCCGAACGCGCACACTTTTTTGAACCCAGCGGCGAAGTAACGGCACCGTCGCGATTACGAAGGCGGGGTGCACTTACCCGGAAGAAGAGGGTGGAAGCATGAAACACAAAGGCGGATTAAGTATATTGGGTTCGGGAGCGCCAGAATACGTAGATTGGCACCTGCGGATCCAGAAATACCTACTTTCAACGACTGGCGTGTGGCCCACTTATCACCTGGCATTGCAGATAGGGGGGCCTGCATGGGAGCAGACGCACTCAGCAAAACGCAAGAACGAACATGCGCGTGGAAAACTTGAGCAAGCACGCGCACACACACACACACACACACACACTCAGTTGCAATTTTCTCGCTTATATGCCAAACTGTAGCAATTCTGCGCGCACCACCTTGCACAAGCTGCCGCTGAACAGAAGTTCCATCAATCGTCCCCCTGTCGAGATTCTCGTCCTCCTCCACCTTGGCCCTTTCATGCAAACCACTTCGCTTTGTACACTCCTTTCCCATGTGAACGCACGAGCTCCTGCCACTGGCTGACTGAATGTCTCATGGGAGTGAGTCAGGGCGAATGTAGGGGGAGGGGGTCAGAGCGCAGGAGGTGAAGTGGTGATGCGTATTAATCAGCATGGAGTTATTTCTAGCTGTCCTACTGGCCCGAACTCTCGACAATCACTGGTCCTCCGAGAGCATGGGGAGAGGCGTCATGTGCTACCCGCAACCTCGGCCCCCCTTACCCAAGCCCTGCTCGGATCCTTGATGCCTTGCCCTGTGCTGTTCCTCACCCATCCCAATGCTTGCCCTCCTCGCTGTCGAATTCAGTCCTCCTCACTTTACAACTATACCCCTTTCTCTTGCTACCTTGCACGACAGAGGTGCCTCGCTCTTCTGGCCGGGAAGCGACAAGCCATTGATATAGCAAAATACCTGCGGCACCAATGATGACATGACAACGCACTGACGTTCGTAAACATATCTTGACTTCGGGATCGCCTTGGACGCGATGTTGGCCGCGTTGCCGCAACGGCTTGCGCAACTTGAGCAATCATTCACAGCTAGGTGACACAACGAACTTGGCAGCCTTCCTCAGGACAGCGTGCAACAAGGAACGCGTTCCCGCCGACCTGCACCGACTAGGCAACAGTGTGCTAGAACATCTGCCACCGTGCCCCGAGACTCGAAGAGTGGCATCGTGCCAATCCCACCAGCCCTCTGGGCGTCGGTGGTTTAGAGCGTTTCCTCTTCCACCCCTCCTTCTTCCCCTTCGGGGAGGGGTTTACCCCTCCCCCTACCCCCTCCCCACTGACCTGGACAGGGGGGGCGGGGAGCGGTCAGAGCGTCCAAAACGGCCTCGCCGAGGAAGCCAAAATCATTGATTTTACTAAGGTTTGGCCCCATTTGGCCCCCAGAGGGGGCAGCACTAATTGAAGCTCCCTCTTCTTTGATCGATTTCCTCCAAGATGGCCCCAAGAAGCGCCCAGGAGGCACCAAGAGGCCCCAAGATGGCCCAAGATGGCCCCAAGAGGCCCCCAGGAGGCCCCCAAGAGGATCCCAAACGGCCCAAAGAGGCCCCCCCGAGGCACCCAAGACGCCGAAAAGCCCCTCAGGACGACCCTCTACTCGCCTGGGCGTCGTTTCTGGACGGGCTGGTGGGGATACGCAAAGCGTCTAGAATTTGATCTCTCTGCATTGGGTTTTGTGCATACTCTGTAAACTACACTGGCGACGTACCCAACCCCTGCGCAATGCGGGGCAGGAGTAGCTTGGGAGATTTGACGAGAAAGCGGCGACGTGACCAGGACGCATGTACTTCTGAGAGCGGCATTCGGAAGGTTCGCAGGTCCCCAATCGAGGGAAACACGATGAGTAACTAAGTGAACCCCTGAGTCACTAAGGAAGACGCAAGGTCCACAAGGAGACGGTGGGCAAGGGGCTTGAAACGTGGGCGGGGCAACAACAACATGACATGCCCCCCCCAAGCACGGCGAGGCCCCGCTCAGATCCGCGCGGTGCCTCACTCCGCTGGACCCACCAGCAGCCCTCGAAAGTGGCGAGCCCACCGGCAGCCCTCGAAAGTGGCGGCAACTTCGCAAATCGCACCCCCCCAGGGACGGGGAGGTCCGCTAAGATCCGCGCGGTGCCTCACTCCGCTGGACCCACCAGCAGCCCTCGAAAGTGGCGACAATTTCGCAGATCGCAGCCCCCCAGGGACAGGGAGGTCCCGCTCAGATCCGCGCGGTGCCTCACTGCGCTGGACCCACCAACAGCCCTCGAAAGTGGCGACAATTTCGCAGATCGCAGCCCCCCAGGGACAGGGAGGTCCCGCTCAGATCCGCGCGGTGCCTCACTCCGCTGGACCCACCAGCAGCCCTCGAAAGTAGCGACATTCACAGATCGCAGCACCCCAAGGACGGGGAGGTCCCGCTCAGATCCGCGCGGTGCCTCACCCCGCTGGACCCACCAGCAGCCCTCGAAAGTGGCGACAATTTCGCAGATCGCAGCCCCCCAGGGACAGGGAGGTCCCGCTCAGATCCGCGCGGTGCCTCACTGCGCTGGACCCACCAGTAGCCTTCGAAAGTGGCGACAATTTCGCAGGTCGCAGCCCCCCAAGGACAGGGAGGTCCCGCTCAGATCCGCGCGGTGCCTCAATCGGCTGGACCCACCGGCAGCCCTCGAAAGTAGCGACAATTTCGCAGGTCGCAGCCCTCCAGGGGCGGGGAGGTCCCGCTCAGATCCGCGCGGTGCCTCACTCCGCTGGACCCACCAGCAGCCCTCGAAAGTGGCGACAATTTCGCAGATCGCGCTGGACCCACCAGCAGCCCTCGAAAGTGGCGACAATTTCGCAGATCGCGCTGAACCCACCGGCAGCCCTCGAAAGTGGCGACAGTTTCGCAGATCGCAGCCCCCCAAGCAAGCCAAGAGGAGACAAGAAGGAAGGGGGGCGGGAGGCGGGAGGAGGCGGGAGGAGGAGACGTGACCGCGGTGCTCCATTCAAAACGAGTACCCAACCAAGGAGGGTTGGGAAAATATATCCCTGACTTCCGTTCCAACCTTGGCGCTATCATGAGGAAACCCACACGTACCTCTACTGCTACTCACTGGACCTCTCCTGGGGTGCGCTCTGACCAGGATTTCGAGGCGAATCCAGCGGTGGCAACGAGGGCCTGGCAGGAGGCCCAAAAAGGGGAAGACGAGGAAAGGGTAGCGGTATCGGTACCTTCGGGTGCTCTCGGGATTCTGCGTGAGTTTGTCCGGTCCTTGGGCGCTTGCCTTTGGAATCCGAGCCCAATCGAAGAGCCCTCTGGAGCTTCCAACCGGCATTCGGAGCTCGGTCCTTCCCTCGAGATGGTCTTCGAGACCGCCGGCAGGCCCCCAAGAGGCCCGCAAAAGGCATCCCACAGGCCCCCAAGAGACCTCCAAGAGGCTGCCACGAGACATTTCGGGAGCCTCCCTGGATACTTCAATTCACTCAGATTCCCTCCGGCACGCGAATGCCTGCCAACTGCCAAAACCGCAGGCAATATGCAATTTTACGGGATGATCTCCCCGTATGGCGCACCCGTGAGGGAACTCGCGGCCCACCGCTCATGGTTGCCTCAGGATGACCTAGAAAGAACCTCTGAACACGAAGAAGCTGCAATACTGCTTCAGGGGGCTCCGATGGCGACCAACTAAAGTTTCCAACTGGCTCCCGCACGGCCCCAGAACCTCACACGACGGCCCAAAATCGCCCCGACAAGACTCCACGAGAACCCCAATACTGACTGTATGTCCCCAGACGGTTCTGCTGAACTTCTTCGAAGAAGCGCTGTAGAATGATCGCGCACAAGACGTCCCGAATATCACCCGGAAAGCCTCTGGAGCCCCCTCAATCTCCCGAAAGGTCCCTGGGAACGCCCAACCCCCCATGGGACAAGAAAACACAAGAACCCGCCATTCAGCTCCCAATGATCAGGATGAAAACCCGCATGGTACCGCTGCCTGCTAGATGGCCCTAGTATACCTTCCTTTTCGCGGGAATTCGGTGGGCCATTGCGCCCAAGACGTCTCGAATACCCTCAGCGAGCCCCCTGGAAGCCACCCAACAGCTCACGAAAGGACCCTGGGAACGCCCCAGGCGGCCCCTGAAAGGCAAGAGCCCCCCAAGAAACCCCCCATGGAGCAGCGCAACGACAGCGCAAACTCACGGGCCACAAAAGGGCGAACATCATCTTACAGACCCGGTCTTAAAACAATAATGCGCGATCCCCGTGTCGATGCGCAACCATCGTGTCGACAATGACAAAGTGATGCAGATGACGGTGAACATCGTTTCCTCTTGGCGTGGTTTTAGTTATTGTGGGGGTCCTGCTGCTTTGCTGCCATGGTTTAATATTTACGGGGTCAAGTTTTCTGGTTGTGGTGGCTATGCGCACATGTTGGGAGGTCTGGTTTGCTTTTTGGAAGGTCCTGTATACTTTTCGGGAAGTGCTGATTACTTGTTACGGCTGTCCTGTTTAGTTGTGGGGAATTTCTGCTGATTGTGTGTGTGTGTGGGAAATTATGTGTATTTGTTGGGAGGACTTGTCTATGTTTTAGAAAAGGCGCAATTTACTTGATGGGCTCGACTGTTTATTTGTGTCAGGGGGTCCTGTTTGTTGTTCGGGGTTCGGGGGTCCGTTTAGTTTTTTGAGGGCGTTCCGTGTACTTTTTGGGAGGTCCTGTCTACTGCGTGGGCTGTCCCCGTTTATTCCCCACCATCCTGTGGTGTTGGGTCCTCGTTTTGAAGAGACAGCGCCCCGCGTTCACTCCTTCCTTCCTCCCTTCCCCCCCTGCCCCCTCCTCCCTCCTCCCCCTCCGCGTCAGCCACACCCATTTCGGCACACCCTCGCACGCTTCGTGGCCCCATATGGGGGCCCCACCGACGGCCCCAATGGCTGCGTCCGCATGGCGGCACCGCACCCATGTCGGCACACCCCTCACACGCTTCGTGGCCCCATAGGGAGCTCCACCGAAGGCCCCGATGGCTGCGTCCGCATGGCGGCACCGCACCCATTTCGGCACACCCCTCACACGCTTCGTGGCCCCATAGGGAGCTCCATCGAGGGCCCCGATGGCTGCGTCCGCATGGCGGCACCGCACTTCGGCAAACCCCTCACACGTTTCGTGGCCCCATCGTGAGTTCCACCGAAGGCCCCAGTGGCTGCGTCCGCATGGCGGCACCGCACCAATTTCGGCACACCTCTCACACGTTTCGTGGCCCCATAGGGAGCTCCCTCTCATTCGTTCAACCTGCTTTGCGGTACCCGTAACTGCATATGGTTGGGTCCATCGCCAGGATAATGTTTTAGGCGGGTCCTGTTTACTCTTTGGGAAACCGTGTTTACTCGTTAGGTCCTGTCTACTTTTTGGCAGGTCCAGGCAACGCCTTGGGATTGATGGTCTACTTTCGGCGAGGTCCTGTTGACTTTTGTTGGGCGCCCTGCCTCGGGGCGCCCGGATGCAACAAAGCAATGAGAATGTGAGATCAGCGCTGCGCCCACGGCGCCCTTTTTTCTACGTCGCTAAAGGCAGCACCGAAGCTAGGGCTGCGATTGATGTCGCGAGCAGTCTGCGCGAAGACCTACGTGGTAGGAAAAAGGGCGCCCCGCCGCGGACCTGGGCCAGCGTCGCCCAGAGGGCCCGCGCTCGGATGCCAACGTGACGCCCGTCGCGCTTGGGGGCAAGCGTCGTCGCAGCAGTGCTCGCCTCACTCCCGCGACGCCTCGTCGTCGTGATCGTCGTCGTCGTCGTCGTGATCGTCGTCGTCGTCGTCGTCGTCGTCAGGGCACCATCATCACTCGTGGAACGTCAGACCGCCAGAAGCAGGCCCGACCGTCGGGATCTCACCGCCACCTGCGGGCGGCCCGTAGCCACCCATAGGAACCATATTCGATATGCCTGAGCTTTCGAACGTTTTGTTGAACCCTGTCGCGTTTGCTCGCGGACATGCTGCGCGCTCTCTCGCGCGCGAAATGTCCCGGTGAATGCGCAGCCGGCACAGGTCCCAGCACGAGGCAACGGCAGCGCCAACATAGAAGAGCTCGGTTCGCGCGACGACGCACCCGCACGCGATGCGCCAGTGGCCAGAGGCACGCTGGAGAAGCGTTGTCTCGCCGCGCTCCCTCTCCATGATCCAATCGATTTCCTGCTGGTTCAGGTGGCTTTTGTTCTCTCCAAGCCCGAAATGTCAATGCAGCCCGCGGCGCACGTCGTCGCTCCTCATGAGCTGGTAGCTGCAGAATCGCGGGTGTCCGGGTTGGTCCTGGAGCCGCGCGGGAAATTCCTGCCAGTGCCCCGCTCCCCCCTAGTGCCGCACCTCCCCGTCGTGCCTGTTTAGCGCGTGCTTGACGCATTCGTACTTCGGGTGCCTGCCGCTGGGGAGCTTCTCAAAGGCCGCCTCGAACTCCTGCCCCGTCAGGGCGTGGCAGTCGTCGTTGAAGACTGCGTCGGGAAAACATTGTAGAACGCCCGCGGGTCCCTCGCGCCAGAGGCACCGAGAACTTTCCCGCTCCATCTTCGTGAGGTAGTGCGTCTTCCTGGAGGCGTACGCCCGAGGCACCTCCCACGACTGACCGCGAACGTTGATGCCGTCGCTCTTGTGCCCGATGCCGTCGATGTACTCTCGCGCATCAGGAATGGAATTGACACTCTGGTCGTGAAACTTTCCAAATCGCTCACAGCAGCGCCGTCCGCCCACACGGTCCACCCTACTACGGTGCAGAACCAAGATCACACTGCCAGCCCCGGGCGAACATCTGTCTGGGGCTTACGCGGCTTATGTCGCGGAGTTCAGTTTTGGCGGCCTCGTCCAAGGGGCCGACGGCCCTGTAAGACAAGTACCTCATCAGCGGAGCGGCAGCTTCTCCCGCGCCAGAGGCATCGGAATCTGCGTCGAGGGGCGGGGCGCTGTGAGAGCGGCGCGTGGTTCGGCGCGGCGGCATTGGCTCCTCGTCGCCGGCATCCTCGTCGGGCCCGCTGCCATCCTCCTCGGCGCTGCCGTCGTCGTCGTCGTCACCGCCATGGACGGCCGACGGAGGCGCGCCAGAGGCGCCGCCATGGCGCGCTGGTGCCGTTTCTGGTGCAGCCGCGGATGCGGCGAATGGTGCTGGCTGCACCAACTGAGTCGGAGCAGGCCGCGGAACTACTGGGCCTGGCGCCCACTCAGGAGCAGGAGCAGCGGCCCAAACGTGCGGCACAAACCATTTTTGCGCTCCTGGCGGCGCAGCTGCTGGTGCTGCTGGCGCCGCCGCCATTGCCGCTGGCGCCGCGGCGCGCGCGGGCAGCTACTGCGCCTCAGCACCTGGAAAGCCTGCACCATCATGGCGCGCAGCAAGCGCTGGCTTTGCCAACGTTGCTGCTGCTGTTGTTGCCGGCGCTGTTGCTGCTGCGGCTGGCGCTGCAACTGCCGTTGCTGCTGGCGCCGCCGTTGCCGCTGGCGCAGCGGCCTTCGCGGGCGGCTTCTGCGCGGCAGCACCTGACGCGCCAGAGGCACCGCCCTGGCGCGTTGCTGCTGGCGGCGGCGCTGTCGCTGCTGATGCCGCTGCGGCTGCTGCTACTGCTCCCGCCGATGCTGGCGGCGCGGCTGGCGGCGCAGCTGCTGCTGGCGCGGGTGGCGGCGCAGCTCTACGCTGAACCTTCAGCGCGACGCTGACACGACGACGGGGCTTATCGCAATTAGGTAGATCCGACAAATTGGATGACCAGACTGGTCAACCATTGCCTGCCTTGCACGAGGGAGCCGTTTGATGAGAACGAGTGCCCTAACCCTTCACTCCGCCAAATATCAACCCACGCTTCGTCAGATACCGTTATACAAACCTCCACGAAAGCGAGTGCTGCTCTGGAGGATCCTGTGAGAGATCATGGTCGCCAATCTCTACACTCTCTAGAAAGCTTGATTGTATGAGGGATCCGAGCTGCTAAAAACCTCTAGGACACAAATATCTCGCAGGCCCATCTGGCAGATGTCGCATCAGATCCCAACGGTCTGGTGCTTAATGCTGACGTCTGTGTTTAAACTATGTTTCAAGAATCGGGAGGGGAGACTCGGGGAAACACACGGCAGGATTACTCAACATCGAATCGGCAAGTCGGATCGAATCGAATTGTGCATCGGATTGGGCTGCATCGGCACAGGTTTAAAATCGAATCGGATCGGCTGCGGATCGGGCTGGCCAAAATCGGCATCGAATCGAATCTATCAGATTGAACTGAACCCTGCACGGGGGGTGGGGGGTGCAAGCCCAGGGAATCAAGGGAACAAAGCGAGGCTGAAATCCACCAATGGATGTTCCCCCCCGGCATTCACTCCCTCGCGCCCCCATCCGTACATCTGCGGACTCTCGCGCGCCGGAGATTACATCGCGTGTGCGATGTTTCCTCCACGGAGCCTCGAACGGGGGACCTGGATATGCTGAAATCGTGTGAGAAACGGAAAGAAGTGGTCTGAAGCGAGCAGACATAGCGAATTTACGCGGTGAATTACGCGTACCGCCAGCGCGGCACGCTACACTGGAGACGAGGGCGCTTACGCGCGACCTTACGCGGGCAGCTTGCGCGCGAATGTTCGCGCAACTGCCCCCGTTGTCTTCCGTAGCTCATGTAGTCGCATGTTGCTTTGAATGAATAGTGAATCGTATGTAATTTAATCATGTTTACATGTGGGACGCTGGGAGGCTCCAAGAGAAACCCAACATGATCTAAAAAGATCTGGAAGACGCCAAGCCCAAGTGGCCTCAGGAAAGGCCCAAGAGGGTCCTGGAGCCCGCAAGAGCCCTGAGAAGATTCCCAGAGAGCCGCAAAATTGCCAAACTGTTCCAGCAATCGTGCGACGACGCCTTCCAACCCTGCGGAGCACTCGCATGGCCGAGGAGACCCTGACTGCCAGATTTACACTCCAGCTCCCCTTTTCGTCGAAGAGCTCTAGAAAGGAAGACCACGGCTGGCCATTCGATGCACATGCTCCACATTGCCCCGAGACGGCCCTGCGGGTCGAAGTGGCGCGAGAAGAGGACGGCACCTTGCTATTCACGCGTGCGTACGTCAGCCAATACACTCCGACGAGCACGGGTCTGCAGGGGAGGGCGGGAGGCGGGCAGGGGAAGACACGAGGGCGACGCGGACGGGAGCGAGGGACACACATGGGGTCGGGGGACCACGCCGCATCGCCCACATCTGCATCGTCTCAGCGCTGAGGCTCTGGATCGCGGGGGGCATCGCTGTTGGCATCGGCGATGCAGCGCAGGGCGCGCTCCAATGACCATCCGCGGAGGTCCCTTGGAGGTGCCCGGAGGTGGTCTCTGTGGAGGGCCTCCGGAGGTCCCCCTGGAGGCCCATACCAGAAACACGCCGACTGACCCTACGATCTCCGAACCTCGAGCCCTCGAACCATCGGCCATCGAGCCATCGAAACCTCGGTCCTCTGCCTCGTTTGGGCAACCTCGAACGGGAGGGCCGGATTAGAGAAATCGTTCACGCATGTCAGCCAGCGCAGACCCCCAAGAATGATGCCTCGCAATCTATGTCTATGCGGTGCAGTCTTGGTGAGCCATCAATATGGTGTAATCTAGGTGGTGCATTCTTTATGGTGCAACGCAACGCAACGCAACACACAGCGAAGCAAAAATGCAACGCAATACAAAAAATGAAAAGCAACGCAAACCAACCCCAAGCAATGCAAAGCAACGCATCGCATTACAAACCAACACCAACCAAAATGAAGCAACGCACAGCAACGCAAAATAATGCAAAGCAGCGTAATGTAATGCAACGCAATGCCAAGCAAAGCAAAATACTGCAGAGAAATGGAGAGCAACCCCAAGCTAAACCACACGGGCGGCGACCAGGCGACGGGCGGCGACGGGGCGGCGACATGTTGGCCAGAGCGGCGCGCAGGCCCAGGTGGCAGGCGGCGACGAGGCGGCGATGGCGGCGACATGGCGGCAACCGACGGGGCGGCGACGGCGGCGACATGGCGGCAACAACGCCAGACAGGCCCAGACGACGGGCGGCGACGGGGCGGCGACGGCGACGACATGGCCGCCAGACCGACCCCCATGCCCAGACGACGGGCGGCGACGAAGCGGCGACGGGGCGGCGACGGCGGCGAACCCCACGCCCACTTGTTTATTCTAGGAGTAAGAGCCCCTAATTGCAAGCACTGTTCAAACACAATTTCTGAGGCCCGCGCGGATTTCTTGGATCGGCGCTGGACACCCCTCCCGGGAGGGACGGCGCTGGAGGCGCCGCCGGGGGGGCCCAGCGCCCAGCGCTGGTCCGAGAAGTCCACGCGAAGCGCCGACAAATCATGTTTGTGTTGTTCTCTCTATGGGTTTGGGCGTCCTCGAACGCAAGGCCCCGTGCAGCAGTTGCGCGCTCAGCCTGGCGATGTCGCGTGGCCGCTCGCCTGCGCCGCGCGCACCCGCGTTTCGGAGGGTCCCGGGGGGCGAGGATGGAGCAATGCAGTCAACAAGGGCAACTATGTTCGCCCGCGCTTCGCGAAGCACGAATATCTTCGCGCTCTCGAGCCCCACGGGGAGGGAGCATCGAGCCCCGTCCGAAGCCAAAGTGGAGAATGTCCCAAACCATTGGCCGTAGAGCATCGATATGTTCGGAGGACCGAGAATCGAAATTTGCGGAAGATTAGCGATCCAGTGGCAGGTGCTCTAGCGCTGGAAAGAAGCTTAGTAAGAGGTCCGAGATGCGCAGTGCCTTGTGGTAGCTCCCGAGCGCTTTCCTCCACTCGCCCTCCTGGCACCGCAGTCATGGAGGAGGAGAGGACGGGGAAGGATGAACAGGACGGCGAGGCAGCGAAGGAATGCAGAGACGTACGAGCAAGAAGAGGCGGGGGATGGAGAGAAGGAAGGCGAGGAAAGAAAAAACGAACAGAGATGAGGGAGGATATGGATGAGGTTGACGGGAGATGAGGCGGGATGATGAAGGAAGGGGGGAGGCGGGAGGAACAGAGGGAGGGAGGGAGCAGGATGAGGGAGGGAGGGAGCAGGATGAAGGAGGGAGAGAGCATCAAGAACAGGATGCGTTTTTATTGGTATTAACGGTGACCTCTGCGGGAGCAAACATCGGACTTCTGTGACCGAGGCCGTTTGGAAGGCCAACCTGTGATCGGCAGCTCCAGGGTACCAGGACGAATGCGCCAGCCAGACATCCACGCACGCCGTGGCTGGGACAAGCGACATGTATGCCTGCGACACCGATGCAAGCCACAATTGGGGCCAACCTTGACATAACTCACCATGTGAACCGACAAAAGGGCAACAACAAAACTGTACGGGAAGAGAACTGGCTCATTCTGAACCTGGCGCCGCCCCGAGATACTGAAGATGGAGGAGAGCCACCACCCCGCATCCAGGGGAAGCACGCCCCAGCGTAGGCAGAACCCTGCCATATACCACGCCGACGCTGTCCAAGAACAACTGCACAACAACGCGGATTCATTGGCAGACGAATTGTACGTCTTACTCTGTCAGATCCCGACTCAAGGAGCACGGGAGTACACATACGCTCACGTCTGCCATCGAAGCAGGCGCGTCGACATGCGGGCACCCTCCCGCGGCTCTCCTTGAGACTGATGGGGACTGCCACACGGCAGACGGAACCCTCGGAATCATCCCCCTCCTCCCGAGGGAGGGGCCCGAGTGCAGACGCGGGGACGAGGCTGAGGTGAGGTCCTCAGGAGAACCGAAGAACTCGAGGCCCCGAAGGGCGCTGACCTTGCAAGACTTTAGTGCTATTGGCCGTCCCGTGGCCATAAAGCAACTTAGAACACGCCTTAGACAGTCCCAACAAGATAGGAGCCACACCTTGGACAAATGCAGCAGTCAGCCCCGCCAGAGCAGGGCAAAACCACAATATTATGCTTTAGCGGATCGGCCACATCCACGTCCGCAAATCTGGCACCGCAACAGGGACCTCCTGGGGGCTGACTGGGGGACCCGGAGCCAATCCTCCACGCCGCGCGTGTCCAGACATTCCTTAACCATAGCCAAACGTGACCCAAGGGAGGACGTGTCGTGGAACCCGCAGCAGCGGGAGTGGGCGCGTGAGGCTTAACAGATTCGGCACCTGACACATCTAGCCTGGGCCACAGGGGCAACCGAGCAACTGCAAAAGCACACACAGACTTGGCAACCCCGATACGCCTCTGGATCTCCTCATATTCCGAGTCCGAGAATTTCGGGTGCATCTAAATCACAACGCGCGCATCAACATCGGCTAAGTCATTGCCTAGCCTAGCCCATTTACCTTCAACGATGGGACCTGGCTCGTTGGGTCCTGGTGCGCCTTCACCTGGCAACAACTGCGAAAGTGCTTAAGTAATCTGGCGAAACGAAATCACAATCCAAGAGTGCGGATTGAAATACGCGGCCTGGGTCTTAGGGTCAGCGCTGTTGCATTGCCTGACCACATTGTAGCAATCTCAAACAATATCTGGCGGACCTAAAAGCTGCAAAGGCACCGCAGCCGATGCCTGGAACTCTCCAGCCGCAGGCGAGGCAACCATGAGCGTGCGGACAAGACCGAAGAGCCTGACTTCCATCTCTCCCTCGAGAGTTACGTGGACGATCCCCCCCCGACCCCTGGAGCTCGGGGGGTGGGTGGGTGATGTCTAGTACGGCTGTTGTCAATGAACACAACACATTCGGAGTCGGCGTCCTGCCGATCTTCATCAGCCCGTTTCACGTCACGAGAACCTTTTGGGGGGGGGGTCGCCAGGCTGAGGGAACATACCACTTGTTTACAAACAATAGCAGATCCTCGTCTCCCTTCGCCTCCTTGGCTCCTCTGGACTGATCTTCCGAATCAATCTTCAATCCCTCGCCTTATCAAGCGGGGTAAACCCACGCTCCGCGGAACTCAGCACCCCAGAGTGCGCTGAGAATAGAAGCGACCTGGTAGCCGTGCCAATCGGGGGGGGGGTCAGATGGCTTCACAGGCATGAGCTTTCAAGCATCCTCTAGCGAGGGTGGGGGGGTGGGGGGGGCACCGCTTCAATCGAGGCCGTGCTCTCACCACATCGAAGCACAGCCTATTGCAGCCCATCTTCTCGTTGGAGCTGGCCGCCCTCTCTAGAAATCTACACGCAGCGCGGAACAATTTGCCCTTGAGCATGGCTGGGCTCGCGAAAGCGAGGCGTACTGAATCCCCCCAGTCCCTAACAAGGTAGCCAGACCAACCATGCTCAGGGAGACCCTCTCGGGGGGCCAAGTTAACGAAGAGATGTGGGCCCTTGGATGTTCGTTCCAAACGAAGAAACTCCCCGCCCGGAACCATCACTTCCCAGGCCCCCGGAAGTTCCCGGAAGTTCCCCGCGCCCTGGCTTGAGCGAGCCAGCGCAGCCCGCGCCCCCTCCGAGCAGCGCATTGATCGCAGCCTCGGCGCGCGGCGGCGCTCGCCGCACTCCTTGAAGCGGGCATTGCCCTGCTGCTTGAACTCCTGGGCCTCCCCGCGCGCGCGGGGTCCGCGCCGACCCCCCCCCCACGCCCGCCCGTGGCAGCGCGGCGGGGCGCGGCGGGCGGGGGCGCGGCCGGGGCCGGCGGCGGCGGTGCTGCCAAGAGTAGGGCGCTTCGGAGGGGGAGGCTCGGCGGCGAGCCCAGGGGACGTGGGGGGGGGAGCAGGCCTTCTCCAAGGGCTCCCAACTTCGCGCTTCGCGCTGCGCGAAGCGCGAAGTGCGAAGAACTCCGCGCTCTCGCGCCGCCTCCCAAGGGAGAAGGGGAGGATGAGGAGGAATCGGAGCCGAACCGCGAAGCGCGAATAACTTCGCGCCCTCGAGGGCGCCCTTCTTCTCAGAAGGCGGCGGGGCTTCTCAGAAGCTCTCCGGCCTTCTGAGGAGCCGTCTGTGCCTCCGGAGAAGGTTGAGCAGACGTGTCATCAGAAGGCCGCCGCCGAGAGTCGGTGGTTCAAAGATGGGGTTCTTAGAGATGCGATCCTAAGGATAAGAAGGGATCTAACGGTGGACTCACGCTGTTTTAGGCACCTCGTACTGAGGACCCCGTTCCTCAGGACCCCTATGTTTGAACCACCGAGAGAGGAGGAAGAGAAGGAAGAGGAGGAGGAGGGCGACGCCGAGGACATCCCTTCCTCTCCTCCTCCTGGTGGGCACCCCGACACGCTGTGCCCGCAACTGGCCTCTTCGCAAGCGATCAGGGCACTCAGGCCGGGTGGGGTAGCCAGGCCGCTCTCTCTCTCTCTCTTTATCTCTCTCGCTTTTTTTCTCCCTCTCTCTCTCTTTGCTAGGAGTTGCTTGCACCGTGCTTGCATCTGTCTCCAGTCAGGACAGGCTGACAGTGAGCCTCGTTCGGTCGAAGATCGAACGTCCTCCTGGTGGTGGCTGTGGTGGTGACGGCTGCCAGCAACCGGCTCTCGGACGTCTTTTTCGCTTCTCGCGGCGCGCGCGCCCTGGCCTCTCGAGCCCGGGAGCGAGCCGGCGCTCTGCGCCAGCCGGGTCAAGCAGCCAGAGCAAAGACTCCGAGCTGCAGCGATGCGACTCTGGCGGTGGCGACGAGGGCCTTCCAGGAGGCCCAAGCACGGGAAAATGGAGCAGGGGCTGCGGTATGGATAGGAGAGCTCAGAATCGAATCGGTGCGAGTCGGCGATCGAATGAATCAGATCGGCGGAAATCGACAGCCGAGTCGGGAAGAGTCGAATCGGCGGCAATCGACACGTTAGCAGGCCTCCATTGAGAAATCGGAGTCCAAATCAGAATTTGAAGTCGAATCGAATCGGATTCGGAATCCATCGAAATCGAATCGAATCGGACTGGGTCGGAGGAGTCGAAATGAGCCCTGTACGGGCAGCTCTTCCTCCTTTGAGGCAGGGTGGTCCTCGCGCTCGCGAGGCCGCAGCTCCTCCGCGGCTCCGGCAGCGAGTTGCGCGGTGGCGGTCTGCGCGCCCCGGCGTGCTGGGCTCTCAAGGGGATGGTGCGCTGCAAGGAGCGATGTTTTGTTACCCGAGGCTTAAAGGGCGATGAGGCTTCATGGGCCACTCTAGGGGTACCCAATCACGTGGAAGGTGGTCGTGCCTCAGAACGTGCATTTCAGCCCCAGGAAGGAAAGATGTTTGGGCAAAGGGGAGAGAAGAGGACAAGGCCAGCGGCGAGGAGGAGGAACCAGAGCGAGGCCGAGTCGTGCAGCCGAGAGACGGGAGCACGGGCCTGTACATTACTGAAGTTAGTCAAGAATCAAAGGTAGACACGACCTGGGGTGACGACCAGCCCGTACACAGCCAACCCGTATGATAAGGACGCACGGTAAGACCAGCGAAAGTTGCCAAGGATGGGCCGAAGGATGCAATGGCAGCCCTGGAAAGTCGCTCATCCTTACTATGTGGGCCGACTGTACGGGCGGCCTTGTGCTCTGAAGGTCCAAAGGGGGTGAGGAGGGCGCAGTGGGGAGGGGCAGGAGCAGGAGGGACAGGAGGGGGGGGTTGGAAGGAAGACGAGGGGAAGAGAAGCCCCCCTTTTGCACTTATCCTCTCCCTCCTGGCTCTCCCACCTGCTTCTCCTGTTCCTGTCGTAGGAAGGGGTCCAGAAGGAGGAGGAGGAAGAGGAGGAGGAGAAGGAGAACTGCCCTGCAGAGTAGGAGGCGGAAGAGCAGCTGCATCAGGAGGACGAGGGGGGAAACGAAGCGCAACGTAAGTATCATGGACACGAGGTGCAGGGGAGGAGGAGGAGGCAGGGGAGGAGGAGGAGGAGGAGGAGGAGGAGGAGGAGGAAGAGGAGGAGGATGAGGAGGAGACGGAGCACCAGCATTAGGGGGACGAGGTGCAGAGGGGGACATCGCCATGAAGGAGGCAGACCTGAGAAAGAAGGCCCCGAGACCCTTCCGCCTTTCCGAAGGACCAACTCGTCATCCTGAACATTTTTGTGCGACGGCCCCAGGGCTCCGTCGAGGGCCCCGTGGGCCCGAAATCGGCGAACGACTTTCGGGATACCTTTTTTAAAGGACCGATTTCATTTTCATGAGAGGGAAGGAGTTTTGAAGTACACGTAGTCACTCGGGCTCCACCCAAGAATCAACTTTGACAGGCATCATGTGAGAAGCCATGGCGCTCATGAACAAGCCTGCGTGCTGCGTGCTGGTAAGCATGTCGCTGGGCAGAGTCTGAGCCTCGCCAAGGCGGCGCGCACACACGAGGCCCCAGCGGAGAGCAGGGCGAGTGCGCCGGGCCAGACGGAGAGGTCACAGTCCCTGAGGCCGTGGCGACTCGGCATCGGCACCCTCGTCATCACCGAGTTCGGAGCTCGCGTCGCGAGCTATGGGACGCACAAGGACGTACTACTACTATGTATCCTCCTCGGAGGCGTGCGTCCGACCCGATCATATCGTACAACCATCTTGTAGTACATCGTTTCCCGAGCGGCACGGCCAGAAAACGCCAGCCGCGGAGACAAACGCCAGCAAACAAGATCATCAGGACGCATCGCATCGTCGGGATCAGCAGAAAAGACACGGGTTCGGGTCTCGAGGGAAACGAGTCCTAGATCCCCCGAGCCTTCCCCTAAGAACGATTCTTCAACCTGAGTCTTGCTGTCTCAGAATGCTGGGTCTAGTGGAGGGTCCCGTGCAGACGGAAACGGCGGAAAACCTTAGGACTCGTCTCCCCCAAGAACCCGTTCCTTCATGGCGACGGCATCGATTCGGATCGAGCAAGCCGGAATCGATGTCGAATCAGATCGAAAAGGGACCCTGGAGGGGACGCATCGAATCGTCGGAATCCAATCCGATCGAACTGGTCGGAATCGATCTCAGACTGAATCGATCGGATCGGTGTGGACCCTGGAAGGAAAGGACGCATCGGATCGTCGGAATTGAATCGGATCGATCCGGCCCCAATCGATCTCAAACAGGATCGATCAAATCGAAATTGACCCTGGAGGACGCGTCTTGAGTCTTGAAGGCTCTTGAGCCTTCTTGGGGGGCTTCCTGGGCCGTCTTGAGGACCTCCTGGGCGGCGTTGCGCGATCGGCAGCGCGACGAGACGAAAAAGCAGCCCTCCCACAACCTAAGGAACATCGATTAGCTTTGCCTCTTGGGGCCCTCTTGGGCTTCTCTTGAAGCCCCCCTGCCTCTTGGAGCCTGAGGCTGCCTGGGGGGGGGGTCGGCGAGGGCGCGAGGCGAGGGACGGCTTCCTCCTTCAGCAGCTCCAGCGGCGAGGCGGCGCTCATCGCGCCTGCCCTCCCCACAGTCTGCACTTTTCCACCTCCCTCCCTCCCTCCTCCCCCCTGGCTCGTGCCCCCCTCCCTCCTCCACTTCCTTCTTCTCGTCCTCGTCCTCCTGTCCCGATCCCCTCGTGCTCCACCCCCCCCTCCTACTTCTTCTCCCCCTCGCCCTCCCGCCTACCCCGTCATCCTCCTCCTGCGCCACTCTACCCCCCCATGCCCTCCTAGCTATCCGCATCTTCCCTGACACTTGCTCCACCTCTACGAAATCCATCGCCCTTGTCTGTCTTCCACCTACTGTTGTTGCTCCCCCTCAATCTCTTAAATATGTTCTTCCTCATCCATTGCTGCGCGGGTACTTCATATGCCTTGCCCGTACACGTGCTACTACAATCCATGCGCGTACAGCTGATGTTCGGACTGACGAGTGTGTTGTCCCATCTGTCTCCCCGACAAATCCCACCAGCCTTCTGGGGGTAGGTGGTCTAACGAGTTTTGTCTGTCCTTCGACAGCCCATTCCATCCCCTTCGGGGAGGGTTGTACCCTTCCCCCTTACCACCATCCTATTGGTCTGGATGGGAGTGTGACGGAGGCACTAGAGGGCCGTTTTTCGCCCAATCTGGCTCCAAGAGGGGCTACGAGTATCCAGCATGGCCTCCATCCAAGATGGCTCAAGATAGCCGAACATGTGCAATATAGCTTCCGACATTTGTCCCAAAGGCACCAAGATGGCCACAAGACGGCTGCAAGCGCTCTCGAAGACGTCCAATGGTTCACCCACAAGCCAAACATCCTTCAAGCACCGATGAAACATCAATGACATGTGCCTTCTCGCATTTTCGCGTTCGATGGGCTTCCGAGGCCTCAAGATGGCCTAAGACAGCCCCAAGAGGGACCCAAGAGGCTCCCCAGACTGTCCCCAGAGCGCGCTCGATAGCGCCCTAAGAACGCCCCCGAAAGACCCCAAGAGACGGGTTGGATGGCTCTTGATGGGGGGACATGGATCAGGGACCCCCAAGAGGCCCTCCAGGGCTCCCAAGAGACCTCCAAGAGGGGTCGGTTAGGGCCCCAAGGCCCAAGACCCCCCAAACGAGCCCCAAAGAGGGCCACACGAGGGCCCCGAGAGAGCCTCAAGAATATCTGCTCTCATCGGCAACGCTACTGACAGGACTGGTGGGGATACTTCTTTTTGATCGCGAGCGACGCAGGCAGCTGCGCGCCGTCAAATGGTCAAGCGACAGGCCAAACTAGCAGGACAGGCGGAAAAGGGCCACAACGGTGGCGAGAACTGCGCGGCGACTGGTGGGGATAGACGAAGCGTGAAGAATTGACCAGTATTCGAACTTGGGGACCCGTGATCGTTCTCTGCATCCGACCTGCCTGCTCATCCTCCTCCTGATGCCCGCAAGGCAAACCAAAGTGCAATTCACCAACCCAACGGGCCAAAGGCGTGCTCGAATCTCCGGTAGCAGCCTTAGAATACTTCTGGTTCGCGCGCGCGTGGCTGCCCCTGGGGTCCCAAGACGAACAGAAACACCATGCAACTCCCAGGCGGTCCCCGGGCAAACCCTGGGTGGCTACCCGGCGGTCCCCGTCACAGATACCGGAACTCCTTAGAGCTGCCTTCAGGGCCTGCAAGAGCGTGTCAAGGGCCCCCTAAGACGGTCTACGAGGGCCCAGGGTCACCAGAAGTCGTTCCAAAATGGCCAAGATGGCCTCCAGACGGCTTCAACCGACTCCAAAACGCCCGAAGATGACTCCAAGACCACTCCCCAGAAGCTCCCCTGACGCAAAATCCAACGATTTCCCATTGTTGTTCTCACCTTTTCAGCGTTCTTACCTTTTCGGCCGCCGACGCCCTAAGACGGCCCAAGATGCCCCTAAGATCGCTCCGAGACGACCCATTAAGCCTCGGCCCGAGGGGACTCCAAAACGGCCCAAGTTTCTCCAAACAAGGCGCTGCAGAGCCCCAAGACGCCTTCAGGAAGGCCCCTCGAGGGGGAGCCCAAACGGACATTTCGAGCCTTCAGCTTCAAAATCGCCCCCAGAGCCCCCCCAGGCTTCGGAAGAGCTCGCAATAGGCCTTTGGCCTCGAAATCGCCCAGGTCTCCCATGAGCTCCCCATAGGCCCCAAGACGCGCCCAGGAGGCAGCAAGATGCCTCCGAAAGACACTCACAAGCTCCAAGAGCCCTTCGACAAGCATCCCAACAGACCCTGCGTTCGACTAGTAGAGGCGGGATTTTGAACCACATTCGCGGGCCCAACGGGCCAGAGGCGTGCTAAGATGTCCAGCTACTGGTTAACAAATTTCTAGTTCGCACGCGCATGGCCGCCCCTGGAGGCCCCAGGACGAAAAAAAGTACCTTGCGAGGTGCCAAGGAGATCCTGAGCAAGGGAAGGGTTCTGGCGTTTTCGCCTTTTCGGCTTTCCCACGCTCCCCAAGACGGCCCCAGATGCTTCAAAGATCGACTCAAGACGGCCTTGGGGGCCTCCAAGAGGAACCCCTACCACGGCCCAGGAGGGCCCCAAGACGACCCCAGAGACCTCCAAGACGGACAAGGAGAGCCCGAGGACGGCCCCAAGAGGGAGCCCAGAGGAAGGAGGCCGAACGGGCATTTGGAGCCCTCGGCCCCAAGCGGCCCCCAAGAGCCCCCCACGAAAGTCCAAGAGGCCTCCAAAAGGCGCCAAGAGAGGCCCGACAGGCGGCATCCAAGGCGCCCCCAGGATGCCCCCAAAGAGCCCCTAAAACTGCTACACAGGAGCCCCCCGAGAACCCTCCGAAGAGACACCAAGAAACATCCAGAATGACTCCCACCCACAGCCGCAGCAGCGCCGACCAGCAGCGCCGCATGGCCCACGAACGGGCACGCAAACGCCAACGATGGCACAATACGGGCTGGCGGAATGAGCGAAGCGATGAACTTATTGTGCTTCGAGCAATCCCCAACGAAACCTTCGGCGTTTGTTCCCAACGGTGCGAACGCCTACTGGAACGATATGCGCGGGGCCTGGCTGTCTCGGGCAGCGCGGCGGCCAAGCCAGATCGCAAGTTGAATGTTTTACGAAAGTATAACGAATGTTTTTTTCCTTGGTGGGGGGGTAACACATCTTACGTGGGGGGGAGGGGGGGACGGTAACGGCGGCCGCCGCGGCGAGTGCCAGTACCAATTCGAGTACCAGTACTAGCACGAGTGCGAGTAGCACGAGAAGTACGAGTAGTACTGGTAGTACTCGTAATTCGAAAAATGAAAATACTGGAAATATCTGTAGTGCGAGCAATACTCGTAATACTACAGGCTCGGAAACATTTCTCTTGACGCCACAACGGGTCCCAACAACTACAACAACAGAAAGACGAATGAGACCTTCTGCGCCCAACCCTGTCCGCATCAGCGGGTGCGCGATCCAAAGGCCCCCCCCCATAAAATTCTAAAAGGCTTCCGCCCGCGGGGGGGGGCCCAGGAGGTGATCCACTCCTTTAATTAGAATTTTATTAAGGAGAGTGGATGGAGCCTGGTTTGGGCGATTCTGCCTGGGACGTCCTCAAAATCTGCCTGGTTTGGGGCCTGGTTTGGCCTGGTTTGGCCTGGTTGGGCGGTGCGCCCCGCCTGAGACATCCTCAAAATTTGCCTGGTTTGGCCCCTGGCTTGTCCTGGTTTGGGCCTGTTTCGCTTGAGACGTCCTTGCAATTTGCCTGGTTTGGCATGGTTTGGGCCCGGTTGCGCTTGAGACGTGCTCACACTTTGCCTGGTTTGGCCCTGGTTTGGCCTGGTTTGGGCCCGGTTTCGCTTGAGACGTCCTCGCAATTTGCCAGGTTTGGCCTGGTTTGGCCCGGTTTCGCTTGAGACGTCCTCACAATTTGCCTGGTTTGGCCCTGGTCTGGCCTGCTTTGGGTCCGTTTCTCTTGGATTCGGCCTCCGGGCTTGGGAAAACACACTTTTGCAAAAGAAAAGGCCGAACCCAGAACACTAGTCTGAAACATATAGGTTTTCCAATAGGAAGTGGGGTAGATCAGGCAACCCAAGCACAACAAGCCCAAATGGGCGGTTCCTTTTCAAAAATCATCCCTGCAAAGCAACCTAACAGCGATGTGTAGAAGCATATATGGAAGCATTCTCCTTAAGATTCAGATGAGAATCCAGTTGTAGAGTTCTGCTGTTCTCGCAGTCGCAGTCGCATTCGCGATGTCAGTCGCAGTGGCAGCGGCAGTCGCAGTCACAGCCTCAACAGGCCTCAGTATCAGCCTGCCTCAGCCTCAGCCAGCCTGCCTCAGCCTCAGCCTCAGCCTGCTTCAGCCTCAGCCTCAGTCTGCCTTCAGCCTCAGCCTCAGCCTCCTCAGCCCAGCCTCAGCCTCAGCCTCAGCCTCAGCCTCAGCCTCAGCCTGCCTCAGCCTCAGCCTCAGCCTCAGCCTCAGCCTCAGCCTCAGCCTCAGCCTCAGCCTGCCTCAGCTCAGCCTGCTCAGCCTCAGCCTCAGCCTGCCTCAGCCTCAGCCTGCCTCAGCCTCAGCCTGCCTCAGCCTCAGCCTCAGCCTCACTGCCTTCAGCCTCGGCCTCAGCCTCAGCCTGCCTCAGCCTCAGCCTGCATCAGCCTCAGCCTCAGCCTCAGCCTGCCTCAGCATCAGCCTGCCTCAGCCTCAGCCTCAGCCTGCCTCAGCCTCAGCCTCAGCCTGCTTCAGCCTCAGCCTCAGCCTCAGCCTGCCTCAGCCTCAGCCTCAGCCTCAGCCTCAGCCTGCCTCAGCATCAGCCCTCAGCCTCAGCCTCAGCCTGCCTCAGCCTCAGCTGCTCAGCCTCAGCCTCAGCCTCAGCCTGCCTCAGCCTCAGCCTGCCTCAGCCTCAGCCTGCCTCAGCCTCAGCCTCAGCCTGCCTCAGCCTCAGCCTCAGCCTGCCTCAGCCTCAGCCTCAGCCTCAGCCTCAGCCTCAGCCTCAGCCTCTCAGCCTCAGCCTGCCTCAGCTCTCAGCCTCAGCCTCAGCCTGCCTCAGCCTCATCAGCCTCAGCCTGCCTCAGCCTCA